AATTGGTCAAGATGAAGAATAAATGCTAAGAGACAATTTTTACTTTACGTTCTTCTTCCCAACTTATGAGAGCTCGAATAACCTTCTGCAAACCGTTCATTTTTGAATAAAACAAACGGTTATCAAAAATATGAAAAACTCCCATACTGTGTTAGGCATAATTCCGAGTAATAAATTAAAAAAAAAAAATTTCTTTGGTCTGAAATAAAGTAGATTTGTTTCACATAAAGTAGAATTTTAATAAACAGAAGCTAACACATACTTAAGTGAAATTGTATATTTAGAACCATTTTACAAAATCATACATACATATATATTTTATGTCCATATAATTATGCAATAAATTAATGAGTCATAATTATTGTTTAGCACGGTAAATATGAAGAAACGTAGTATTTATAAAAAATATAAAAACAAAATGAAAATTCGCCTGTAAATGATTCATTAAAGAGTTAATATTGTTTATTTCAACAGATCATTCGTAATAAACACCAAGATATTATAGTTATACAAATAAATCAATATTATGATTACAAAAAATATGACAGACATTCAAGACATAAGCAAGTTTATTAGTTAAGAAACTTATCTAATTGAATATCGATTAACATATAAAATGTTTATTCAAAATTTGAATTAGAAAATAACCCTGATTTTCGAAATGCTGTAAAAAATTATAGCTGCAATGTACAACTAATTCAAAATGAAAGTGGAAAAAAATGTTGCAATGCAATCTGCTCTAAATTACATAAATTGAACGATCATTAAGCGAAGAAAAGTAAAGAGAGAGGAATCGAATTCTCTGCTTTTTGTATAAACATAACAGTAAAATGGTACTAAATTTTGGTTTTTAACATTTTTATTTAATAATACCTTCAAAAATGAGATTCGTGACAATATCTTCAATACGTACATTTGTAGTGCTTTACTAAAATCATATGATTTTTAACTCCTACAGTAAAATGACCCGAAAAATAGAGAAAAACTGCTTTATTTTTTTTGTACAAAATATATTTTTAATATTTCAGAATTAGGCAAAGGCAATCAAGCCGGAATGAAACTTTTCTCTCTGCATTTTGGAAGTCACAGAGATATAAAGCTCAAATTTGTTATAGGGGATGTGTACTTTATGTCCGAATGTTCGTTTTAGAATATAAAAAAATTTATCTGGTTTCAAATTAATAAAAACGGTAATAGTCAAATCATATTAAAGATCGGAGAAAATTTTCTCTATTTGATTCTTCATTTGGTGTAAATTTTGGTAATTTAAAGAAAACTCTCCGATCGAATTCCAAATAATCTTTCGAGTTCGATAAATTCGAAATTTATTATAAATTTGAGCTTAAAATAGGTACTACCAATTGAAATTTAGTTAGATTATGTTGATTTTTTTTTTGAGATTATGATTTTTCAATTATTTTTCTCATTCGTATTTCAAATGATCTCAATTTCTTCATATTATATTTAATCTATCATTACTATTCTAGACAACATGCTTGTACCGTCTCTATTTTCTTTATTATTAAATTTAAGCATAACTTTAATAAATTCAATTGACTTACTAACCGGCTAAACCAGGTGACCCATCCACTACAAGTTAAGCTTCTAAAAATGGAAGTGAATAATACAAAAATAAACAAAAAAAAAAATTAAAAAATTTTCTACCTGTAAACTGTTAAACTTCGTATCTTCTTAAAGCTTTTTGTTTTTTTTTTTAATTTTTATGAGTGAAAATAAAAAAAAAAGTAACGACGTTTTGAATAAAAAATGAAAAATAATAAATATAAATTTTTTTTTTCAGTAACTTAATCTTGAAGGTTGACTTATTTTTGGTTTGTTTTGGTTTAAAACAAAAAGAAAAACGCAAAAATATTAGGTTTTGTGTCTCTTTTTAATCGGATCTTTTGACTGATTTTACCTGATTAATTTAATAAACAATAAATAACAAATATATATATATATATATACATATAAATTATGTAATATATAAACATACATACATATATGTATATACAGTATATTATGTAGGGGCACACATTTCTTTCAATTCATGTTCAGTAATTTTTTTTTTCTCTTATCAAATAATAAAGATCTCAGGTAATAATTCTTTTTATTTTTAATCTACCTGGAAACTTTACGTATTTAAATATATATGTACATATACCTACACATGTAACAATAATATTGTGTGTATGGGTCAAAAATTACTGAATACAAAAAGTAGGTGCACAAAATTTATTTTAAATTATTCTAGAAATGCTAATGAGTGCGATTCTCTTGCATGTTTATACATACGTATATAGTTCATATACATATATTTCAAAGTAATGTATTGATATTGGACAAAAAGTTTCATTTGATTATTAACTAGCATTTGATTATTAACCCATGGTGAGATACTCGATGACAAATGAAAGGAAGTTGCGTAATTTTTATTTATTTGTTTTGGGATTCTTTACCTGGTGCGTATATACAAATAATAAATTGAAAGACATTCTGACACATGGACGGCCACTTATAAGTAGTTGCTTATGTGAGAAGCATGAATTTCCCAAATATTATACCAAAGGATTTGTAACAATTTTCACTTTTCTTTGCAGTCGGTAATGATGGTCAGCGTAGAATTCTCCCGCAACACAAATTATGGATACCATGGAGACTTTTTGAACCACTCGTCATATAATCACATTTGTAGGCTTTCAATTTTCAGCATATGAAATACGATACCTACAATATCTTATGATACCTACCATATGATCATATTTGTTGATTTGGAATTTTATTTTAAAAGAGGTTGGAATAGCTCGATTTTTTTCTAGAAACTATCGCGGGAATTCTGTTAATAATTTCCCACAATTTCAATAATAATAATTTTCTCGGCAATACATAAAGCACCTGCAGAAACACATTAATTAATTTTTACATATGTATATAGAAGCTATAGAAGAAAAAGTGGACTGCATTTCACAGTATACTTCGTGTTCTTTTACTGTTTGTAATTACGACTTAAAAATTAATATTTTTATGCTGTTCAAGGTGTTAAGAAGTGCTAACTTCTTACTATAACAATTTTAAAAAAGAGTTTAAAATAAAACGTTCTCTTAAGAGAACGTTTTATTTTAAATAACGTTTCTAAGACGAAATGCTATTTAAAAGAAAACGTTCAAATTAAGTGAACTAGATAAAATGTCGAATTTGCAATATAAACTGCTCAATGAAATTCGTGAGATGAAAATTTTTTTTAATATTTTATAAGCCATTCGACCATTGCAATATTTTTCTCAGCCATTCGACCATTTCTTGAAAAGACACTTACGAGTATGCCCAAGGTCCTTATTCAATAACATTTTATGATAAAATTCATCTTTTCTAAAATGAATTTCTAAAATGAATTCAATTAAAAAATATTGCCGTGATTTGAATATCATTTTAAAATCATTCAAGAATTCAGTATTAAGTAGGTGCTGTTATACATTTTTCTTTTAAGTAGTTGGTCGTTCAAACCGATTCAAACATTTTGTCTTAAAATTTTAATTTTTTCATTTTTTTTTGTCTTAACAAAAATTATCGCGATTTCATCTCAATATATTCAAAATAAAGGTGTTTAAAGGTATAAAATATATGAAAATAAGGGTACATGAATTAAAATGAAATATGAACAAAAAAAAAAAACAAGAATGCCACAATTCCACGCACATTTTCTGTTGTTTTTCGTTTTTTTTTTTTTGTATTTATTTATTTTGTATACAAACAACGTAAAACATAAAAGCACGAATGGGCGACTTCTATTTTTTGTCTTATTGTTCTATAAAAAATTGTGTGTGTAGTTTATTAATTAAATGCAACTTTATTATTTACAGAATCACACAATAATACAAACTTACATTAATTTTCGGTAGTTTTGGTAGATTTATACTTTGTTTTTGTCGTTGTTTATGGGTTGACAATGGTTTTTTTTTTTGGATTTTTGATTTATTTTAATTTATTTTTGAAAAATTTTCATGGATCTAGTTATATCCATACAGAGACTTAAAAAAGAGGAATCAGACCTGAATACAAAAATAACTTGGTTAAAAAATTGAATATGCGTGTAATTAGTATGAGAGTTGATTTTAAAATTTAAATTTAAAAAAAGATCATCATGTACACTTTTGTGACTTTTGCTTTTGGTTCACTAAAGGCCTATTTTAATTATACAAGTATATTTGCATATAATTATTTTTATGAATTAAATATATAAAAATATAAAATAATAATTTTGTATTTAATTAAAATGACAAAATATAAATTTTAATTAAAATAAAAAAAATGTGAAAATCAAAATAATTATAGCCTTGAAAATTTTTATTTGGGTCTAAATTTAGGCAAAAATAAAAAACCTTTAGTATATTATTTACTTTTTGAGAAATGTGAGTATTGTTACATTATCGGCGAAACAGGAATTGATTTGTAATTAAATATGGAACATTTTTGGTAAATGATAAAAATTTTAACTTGAAATTAAATGCAATTGCCCCACATATTACAAAAATCAATTGTTAAAATTGAAAACATTAATTTTTAAATATTTATTTTCCACCAAAAGTTTTTGAAATATTCTTGTGTAAAATATTTAATTAACGAGATGAAATATTTAAGAAACATTGACAACTTTTACGTCTCCCTTATATGTTATTTTTATGGTAGGATACGAATAAAACACCCTTTGTTCCAAATTTCAATCATAAAAACTAAAAGCAATTAATTACAAGTAGTAGGCTTGTGATATTTGGCCGAGTAAATTATGTTAGTTTGCCTTCACAAATATTGCGTTTGTGCAGCACAAATGCCTTTTTATGTCAAATTTTAAAAACTAAAAAAATGCAAAGAAAATTACAGTGAGAAAAGAACCTCTTTTAATATATTTTAAATTAAATAAGTGAAATTATTTTGTTTTCTAATTCTGAAGGCACTTTCTGTTACAACTTGAATTTTAAAACTAAGTATTGTCGAGTAATTTAGTGTAGTTTTGTAAATCGAATGCAATTTTGAATGAAAATCCTGTTATATAGGAGTAAAAACTAATCTATAAACTTAAATATTGAAGATTTTTATGCGTATTATGCAGTTACTCCTTTCAACTGCACTTTGGTACAGGCCGACTTAGTTAGGAATGCTATACCTTAAAATATTGTGTTATGTTCGGGTTGTTTTATTCTTGCTTGAGGGTATTAAGTACATAAATTAAAAAAAAAAATTTAAAATTTTGGTTTTTTCAATTACCGTGTATTTTGTGAATAAACATCGAAAAATTCTGTAACATACCTGAAAATATACAAATAAAAAATTATGAAATTAATATACAAATTCAATAAATTTCTTTAAAACTATGTGTGTAAAAAAATATGTGTGCATATAATTATAAAACTTTCTCTTGAAGACAGTCACAGTTTTTGAACATTATTCTTTTAAATTGTTTAATTAATTACTTAATTATTAGTTATAAATAACACTTAAACCTAATGAGAAGAAAATTTTTCGAATTAATCCGGAAAGCTTCCTTTGTTACGCTCATTTTTTAAATTTTACGCAGTGAAAAGGTCAAGGAGGAAAAGGGAAAATTTTCTATTTATGAAATTTTGACAGAGAATATTAAGTTTGTATTTCTTAAGTTTTTAAGGAATCACATTTTATATGGGAGCAATTTTGAAAGAATATTCAGCATGTAAATGTCGAGTCTTTTCAACTTATAGAGTAGAAGGTTAAGAACCAAAAGATTGAAGCGAACGAGACCTCTCGAATTAGCCTAAATGCTGTGAGAGCACTTCTGTGCTTTCAAAACTAATGGTTAGTCAATTTAACTAGTTATGGAAGTTTATGACCATCTAGTTGCGTTTTAGATTGAGTTAAAGTCCTCCACTATTGATAGATCTGATGACAGTTTTTGAATGCCTATCCTTGTCTTTTCGATGATTTTTAACACCCGTATTAAAAAAAAAAGAACTTAATATATTTTACCATACTGCACTTTGGGAAGTAACAGATAGTATTAAAACTATATCTGAGTAAATTTTACGTGCTTCCTTAATTTCAAAATTCAAGGTATGATTAGTAATATTAATAAAATGCAAGTACTTCGATATAATTAAGTAATTAAGCTAAACTAATTATTTAAAATTGATGCAAGAATACAATGTTGAATTAATTTTTGAAATATGAAATGCAAAGAAGACCTATGCCATTTTCTTTTAAAAAATACATAATATGCAGTTTCACATTTAATCTTTTCATTTACGTAATCGCCTCAAAAACGAATGGATAAAAATTTACGTGTATATTAAATTGACCAGATGCAAGTTTAATTGTAAATTATTTAATTTATATCTCTTTCCGTTATTTAATAGCTTATACATTATGTAAAATTGCATATTAAATAATTATGACTGTTTTAAAGCGGACCATAATATGAAAACAAAAAAATATGAAGGGCTACTCAAAAAATCTTAAAATTAAATTATGATTATGTTTGGATGTGAAATATTCCGAAATCCCCTGCTGTGATAGTTTTAATTTTGCACACAAATTAAAGAAGAACATTTTTACAAAAATTTAAAAATTAATTTGTTAGTGGCTTTCCCATAGTAGTTTTAATATTAAGCGTAATTAAACAATCCGATTTTAATACTTTAATTAGTAACGTAGACTTACTATTTCTTGCTTACTTTGTAATTACATTGAATACATTTTTCTTTTAATTGGATTTTACCTTTCATTAAGATAAAAACTAAAAAACTGGAAAAGAAACACAAATAACACTAATTGTCTTAAACTTACAAGGCATAATGTTCTTTAATTTTAATATTTTAATGAAATTTTTATTATAAAATGCGCTAAAGTAAATTTCTTCCTGGAATCAAAAATTGGGTCTTATGAAGTCTCAAGTTTATTTATTTATTAATTTTTTTTTGTTTAATTTTTTAATTTTCGTTTTAAACTTTATACTAATAAGTACGTATATCAATTCACCATCGGAAATTTTGTTGTGCATACGCTTAACCTTCACAAAAAAATAAAATTTCAATGTGATAAAATTTTGCATGAATTAAGTCTTTATATAAAATATACATACACAATGTTTTCATGCGTAAAAGTTCGTTTGTATGTATGCATTATATTTTACCCATTAAAAGACTTTGGAGTTAATAATAACATCAACATAATTTTGGCTGTGCTTTATTTGCAGCTAAATCTACAGAAATTTAAATTTTAAAATTAGAAACTCTAGTCATCCTATAGGGTTAAATAATCGCCTTATATCTAGATTTTCCTTATTTCATTTTTTAGGAAAACTGTTTTTACTCGTTAGTCATTACGTTTTCTTACTTTTTTTGCTGAATATGTGGAAGCATACACTACTCCGCTAGAGTTTTTTTTGATTCCTAAAATAGTGCCACAAGTTACAGAAATTTCTAAAGTTTATTCAGTTTTTTTTTATTTAAAAATTCGATTTCTAATCATAAATAAAAGATTTTATGAAAATTAATAAAATTTTTACTAATGAAATTTGAATACCTTTAAATTAGCTCTCCCGGAAAATTTGCAAAATGTAACTTATGGTATTTTTGATCTAACATAATGACATAATTTAATTATGCAACACAATATTTACGTTAGAAAATGTAAACAAAATTGCACAAAAAACAAAATGACGTAATCTTAGTTCTATTTAAAATAAAAATTAATAAAAAAAAATTACTTTGGAATAGGCGCAAAGAATTTAGAACAAAAAATGTAGCGAATTTTTAAGCACTTTCAACTAATTGTACATAGAATTCAAACAGGGTGATTACTTAAGATATTCAATCAAAGAGTTAAAGGGAGAAATGAAGGAAATTTTGAAGAGAAAGTGTAAATTTTTTGAGAATAATGCAAGAAATAAGTGATATTTGAAGAATTCCCCTTGAAAGTATGCAATTATTTTTAATATTTTATACATATTTTAACTTAGCGGCGACTTCATTATGCACAACTCTGTAGTGGCAATTTATCAAATTTATAAAATATTTTCTAAAACTTTTTTTGAACAAAATTTAGTTGATGTTGCGAAAGACATTGTTTTTGAAATTTTCCTCCAGTTCCATACCTCGTAACATAATTGCGCAAATATACCATATGCATACATACATATGTACGTAGGTACAAATCCAATTCCAATGTATAACTATAAATTTTTATTACAAATGTTGTTCTACCATTGTCAATTTCTCTATACCTGAAACATTATAAATATTTTGAATTTTGTAAATTATTACCTTACGTCAGAAATTTTATTACGTTGTACCCAAATAAAAATATTCAAACGTAATCGTATTGTAAATATAATTATGGAGGGTACCCGTAGAATAAATAATGCGAAAAACAAATGTTAATTTTTCTTTGGTTAAATTTATTGATCAAACCTAATATTTTACACTTTTCCACATGTTGAAACATCTAGACTTCGTTCATTCCATAAATGCTTCCCTATAAATACAAGCACATTTAGCAAACAGAAAGGAAGAGAGAGAGAGAGAAACAGAGTTTATAGAAAAGAGGGTGTGAAATGAAGTGTAAAGGTTGCATTGCAAAATGTTCAATAATGTAGATTGGCGATTTGATTAACAAAATAATATTATAAGTTAGAACAACAACAAAAAAAATAAAAAGTAAAAGTGAAAAATCACAATATTCTCCAAATATCAACAAGATTGTCCTTGAGAATTTCGCAAATAATTTTTTTTTTTTTATGTTGTTGAAAAATAAAAAATTGTGAGATCGCGAATAGAAAAAACAGAAAAACTTTAAAAAAGCGACGCATTTTAAAATTTATATGGAGCGTTGTTGTGTCTTTTTATACCCTACATTTTAATGAAGTATGGAGCTTATATCCATTTGAAGAAGTTATTTGCGTAAAATTCTGCGTAGATTTATACATTGTCGTTCGATTATACGATATTTCAACAACAAAAATCAAAGACGATTGCTATTGTAATATGGTCAATTTCAGTAGCGGATTCTGATAGTCGCCGTATTGCTCTGATTTACAATTTAGAATATGTGAGAATGATTCGCTTTAATTGCGGGAAATTTGTTCATTAATAGCTGAGTTATATCCTAAAAGTTTTCAGTAGTCGCTATTAGTCATATTAACAAAAAACGTTTTATAATTAGAATATCATGCTGTAGATGCCTGTAGGGTATAATTCATTCGATTTTTTTTTTTTCTGAGTGATTTGTAAGTAAACATTTCAATTCATTTTTCGTTTTACTTTTTTTTTATTTTATTTTTTTGGATGATTTAATTAAACTTATTTTTCTGTATGAGTGTAAATTATTTACAAAAAAAAATGGAGAATAGAAATTTTACTAAAACTGCTCACTTTTTAGACAATGGGAGCGTTTAATGGGAGAGTTTTTAAAAATTAAAATATGATAAAAAAAAAATATTTTAAAAATTTCAAGTTTAAGCGAAGCGTAAATAAACTGAAAAAAACTTAAGATGTTTTTTTTTTTATCGATCGTCATTTTGTGGTTTTTATTTAGTTTTTTGCCGCTTAAGTTGTAAAACGTCGCAAAAATTATAAGAAATGAAAAAATAAATTAAAATATTTTTTTAATGTTTTTAATTTAGAATATAATTTACTTTTATTTTTCACCAAAAATATTATGTAATACATATTTTATTTAATAAAATTTAGAGGAGGACTTCCAAGTTCAAATTGTGTAATCAAATACTTTAGTATTAAATATTTTGAAATGAAAAATACTTACAGTTCTTGTCAAAAGAAAGTTATACATACGAGTATTTGTAAAATTTTTTTTATGTAAATATTTTGGCAATTCAATTCGGCATATTTGCAGCCATATTATCAAAAATTAAAAATTTATTGGAAGCAGAAATGTATAAATATTTAGATAATTATAACATTTAGAGTAAAACAAAAATATTTCAAAGCTAAAATTGCTAACTTGCTAAATTTTTGCATAATATTAACTCTTTCATATTCTAAATAAGGTTTGTTTACAATAACTCTGTATATGTAAATAATTTTGTATTCTGTATTCTTCCCGATGTAGAAACCCAATTAGTACAGATATGGCATTTTTCTACCACTAATTAACCGATAATAACCTTAAATATCTCGTTAGTCCCGTCACACTTGCTCTGGCCCTGTATAATGTGTATCTCTATACATGACTGTATAATGTGTATACTTAAGTTTTTATTATTTCATTAGTTGGCGATTGTAAACAAAGCTTATGAGTTTACATCTTATCGATTAAAC